TCATAACTGTTAACAAAAACTGTTTTCGCAAATGGTCTTATAGATAATAATAACTATTCCGCCGTGTTAGGTGCAGGAGCTATTATTAGAAGGAGAAGAGGTAAAATTTTGTTTTAGAAATGCGCAATCAATATTGTTTTGTCTGCAATTGAGCATAAAATAAAAAATAACTTCAGCCAAAGAGCATAACTGGCATTATACTCAGGCCCATCAATTGGTATGGAAAAAATAATTTTACCAGGTCTTAAAAAATCAATCAAAATTCAAAAAACATAAATATTAAAATCAAAAAATGTATATATGTATGTCTATACATACATATAATGATTTATGGCCGCTTAGTAACTGACGGTGAGTCACTATAACATCCTACAGTCACGCCGAAACTAAGAGGAGAGAATCAGTGTAGAAAAGGTAATAATTTATTGTGGAAATTTTGTGATAAAATTATAAAAAATTATAAACTTATTCAAGTTAATCTAAAGTCTAACTTATCCTTATGCGTACAAAAAACAAATAATAAAATAGTGAGATGGCGTCAGTTTTTAAGAAGATATAACAAAAATAAACAAAAAAATAAATTTCAATAAAGTTCAGTATTTAATTGATAATATACCGCTGACACTTAATCACGCTTTTCGAAACCACGCCAGTTGTAAACAATACTTGTGTGAAAAGACAAAATTTCTTTTCAAATTTCCGCCGAGTTGTAAGTAGAAGGCCAAATAGGTCACGTGTCAATTTTAATTAAATATATTTTATATGAAGTGATCTTGACTACGTTTCATCAATTAACCATTGGTAAAAATTAAAACAGGAATTTTACGATTGTGTTTACAAAAAACATTATTAGTTGAACCTTGCAGCTTGTTCATTATTTTTATTATAAATACCTATAAATGTATATATTATTAATAAATAGTTCCCATAATATATTGGATTATTTTTTATTTTGCCCTATCTGCAATGTTCTACGTTCTATAGAAAATGTGGCGTATGACATGACTGACAATCTTTCGAACGTTTTATCTAGGTACAAAGATGTTTTACGTTTTCGTCGCCTCCACATGATATTTTTGTCAGCATAAGTTACCCTTCTATATCTGAAACGAATATAAATATTGCTACAAGGAAATGCCCGCCGTGCTTCCCCAATGCGTGTTGACGAAAATTGCAATTACAAATTTCATTCGTGCTGTCGGGGATCAAACCCGGGAAAATTTACAGCGAACGCTTTGACGACATATTTTTAATACGACACAAATAAATATGATTTAACATATATAATAAAAATTCGTCGTTGAAACTTGAACACTTGATAGCTCGTGATGCCTACCAGACAAAGCTACAGCACCACACCGTGCCATGTAATTGAAGATGCGTAACCGCGACATAATTCTCAGTGATGCGCAAGCATAACAGACAGTAAGTATGTCACTTATATAATTGTCATCTCTGCAGTCTATTAATCTTTGCACTTTTATAAGTAATACAAAACGTAGTTGCTAGACGGTGTTAACATCGGCTAAAATCTCTGCCATCGCCGTTTCGTCAAGGTCATTCAGGCTAGTTAAAGCCTTAATTTGTGTAAACTAAATAAATCCTAATTCATTTATATTTTATACTGGCTGATACCCGCGACTTCGCATTGCTTGATATATATAACAAAGTTTTCGTATGTGCGAAGGAAAAACATCAAAAAGATTGCATACAAAATTTCTTTATAAATAGTGTTATTCGTTGCTCCGTTTGTAGCTAAACTATATAAATTATCTGGGTTAGTAACACGACGTACAGGTGACCGTGTGAAAAACCCCGTATAAAATCGTTGTTCCTTAAAACTTTAATAACTTTATATTTAATAAAGATATCGCAAAATTTTTTTTAGATAAGAAATAAAACTAAGAAAACTTAATTGAAATCTATCCAGTAGTTTTTCCGTGATGCGCGCACAACTGCAAATCTCTATCATTTTATTTATAAATATAACTAATTAAAAATTAATGTAATAATTAAAGAATGACTATTTTTTATAAGTAGAATTGCAGGCAAACGAGCATTCGGCTCACCTGATAATAAGTGACTACCGCTGCCGAGGAACAACTGCAACACCAGGGAAATTGCGGATGCGTTGCCGGCCTTTTAAAAAGGAGTAGACTCTTTTTTTGAAGGTCCCTAAGTCGTATCGGTCCTGAAAAATCGCTGGTGGCAGTCGATTCCCCAAGGAAGTTGTGCAAAAAATAAATCTTCTTGTAAATCGTACAGTGGTGGACCGCCAATCATCCTATATATGGTATCTCAAGTTTTATCTTATTAAGGATGGTGAAATTGAGCGACTGGAATTACATATAGTACGAACAATTCCTCTAAGCACTCCCCGTAGTAGATACGATAGAATACGCAAAGAGATGCAACATCTCTTCGCAGCGCCAGTGAATCAAGCCGATCAGAAAGAGCTCGGTCGCTGACATTTCGAACCGCGGAAGGAGCTGGCACTGAGGAGCCCCGGACTAGAGATGGGAACAGTATTCCATGTGAGATCGAACCTGCGCCTTGTAAAGTTGCAGGTGGGTGCCGGCATGAAATACTGTCCTGCTCTGCTAAGCACGCCAAGCTTTTTAGAGGCCAGTTTGGCCTTCTCTTCCACGTGTCTACGAAACTATGGCAGCGCCGCAGATTCTGATACTGGCTGAGGCAACAAGGAGTGTGCCCTGAAACTGAGGGATTGAACTGGACTAGATTTAGTCGAACCCAAACAGAGACTTTGTTCAATAATATATCGACTTCAGAAACAAGCTTGTTCCGGTACTCCGCGACTTTTTCCCGAGAAACATTAGCACGGCCGGTGTATAAAGCATCACCATTGCTGTTGTCCACACAGCAATTAATGTTATCTGTTTGCAACATATCATTGATATGCAGGAGACAGCGTTGGTGATAGCACGCAGCCTTGTGGAACACCAGCGTTAGTAGGCTCCTAATCGGAGAATGCTCCGTCTACTACGACCTTAATTCTTCGATCAAGCAGAAAACTGGTGATCCAATTGCAAAATTTCTCGGGAAGCCCTTAGCAAGGAAGCTTCGAAAGAAGCGCTTTGTGCCAAACCCGTTCGAAGGCCTTAGTTATCTCCAAACTTATCGCCAGAGCCTCCCCTTTGGATTCGACCTCGGTGCCTCTGCACCCATCGGTGTTTTAGGTAAACTAGAAGATCACCAGCTGAGCGACTCCGACGGAAACCGTGCTGACGGTCACTAATCAGCTGGTGCTCCTTGAGGTACCGCATGAGCTGTCCGTTAGTAATGGACTCCATTAGGTGATGTCGATAGGCCTGGACGGAACAGAAAGGTTACCTTATTTTAGGGATCGGGTGCACGAAAGCTGTCTTCCATGAATTTGAAACTACGCTTAGGGAGCAGGATTACCGAAAAAGACGCGTTACCATAAGATTAACAGATATAAATTATTAGTTTTGTAATACATTATCATAAAAATTTAAGAAATGTTTTTAAATTTCCTCTCTCTATATCTTCGCTTAATTACAATAGAAAGAGGATGTAATTACGAGTATAACTTACGTTAAGTAAGCGATAACAAACGATTATAAATAAGGTCATTAATCTTTAAAAATAAAGTAATAATAGTTATAAAACAAAATAATATAGTACAGTTACCAAGTCTACTTCCCATTTTATATAGTAACGAGTTAAATACTGACTAAACTAAACATTATTTTATTCATCATTATCAGCCTACGACAGTTTACTGCTGGACAAAATCTCACCTCAAGCCGCGCCACTTTTTCGGCTTCACGTATCCCGTTACTACCAGCCACCTCATGACAATCGTCGCACCAGCTTACAAGATGGCATTTGCCAAAGCACGGTCTCCACTCCATAAGTTATAAATGATTGTCACTTCTGCGACAGATGCCCATTGCAACTTCGGCTTATACGAGTATATCAATCGTCCTTGGTAAACTCTCATAGTAACTTCTTCGTCTTCATTAGCAAGTAAAATCTATCGCTGGGAACGAGCCTGTCTTCTAGTTTTTTTTTTTTGAGATTAATGGTGACAACCGAACACAAAGTCTACCTGATGGTAAGTGAATTTTGTGGCCCATAGACACACACATAGACACATCTATCCTCGATTAAGAATCAAAATGCAGATGCGTTGTCACATCTGAGGACTATGATAGAATGCCTCTTTTCCAGTAAAAAGGGTTTCCGGTTCTCTACACTCACCATACGCAACACAGCAGTGTTAAGCTGCTATTTTACGCTGGTATTCTGTGAGAGCGTGGTCCTTCCCCGGTCGAGCCGACCCATTCGTGCTACAACTATACTACTAATATAGCTGCAGCATGGCTCTACCACGTATAGCTATACGAGACCAGAATGGCTGTATTCTAAATGACGAAGTTTCTAGTTTAAGGAGGTGGAAGGAATATTTTAAAAGCGTGTTTATGAGTGATGAGACGTTCGAATTAAATGAAATAGAAATTCCGAAAGAAGAGGAAATAGATAGAGACCTAAGTATAGATGAGATAATGAAAGCGATGAAAGCAATGAAAAGTATGAAAGCAGGTAAGGCAGAGTATCTCTCGAAATGCTAAGGGCTGGAGAAAGAGTGGTGCAGATCTGCTGTACACCTTGTTTAATTTATGTTGGGAACTTAAGCGGGTACCGGAAGACTGGTGCAAAGCCATGATAGTCAAAATATATAAAGGAAAAGGATCGCAGCAGGATCGTAAAAAAAACCGTGGTATCAGCCTTCTTAGCATTGTGGGAAAACTGTATGCTAAGGTACTAATAGGCTATTTGACTAATTTTGGAAAACCATTTTAAATGATTCTTTATTACGTAATAAGCATACTACATTGATATTTCCGAGAGATCTACTGTATTAACAATAAAAATCAAAGTTAAAGTTTAAATTTCCAAAACCGCGGCAAAAACGCTTATTCTGTAATGGCGCTGGTCATATTCCGTGTGACGTCACACACAAGTAAAAAGGTCAATAACCCTAATAAAACAGTGCAGCTGAAGTGAATTTTATTATTTTTCTTCAAATTTATTCGATAAAATGGTGTATAAATGGTGTGTAGTGCCACAATGTACTAATACGACTATAAGTAGTCCACACAAACTGTTTGTTTCTGTTCCAACGAATCCCAAAAGACGAAAAATGTGGTTACGATTAGCTCGAAGAGACCCAAAGAGCATTTTAGCTCATACCAATGTTTTTATGTGTGAAGATCATTTTAATGTAAGTAATATATAACTTTATATATACTAGACTAGATGGTAGCCTAATATCGGTTTTTGTATAAAGTAATAACATCTTTAATACCCAACCTCCAAATATGGCTTAATCTTACAGCATAAGTTGGAAGGATACTTTTCACCCAAACCCTACAGGGTTCCCTGTAGGGTTTCATATGTTATCTGTTATGTTATTTAGCTTTCTTAATAATTTTCTTATGCTGTCTTGTAATGTTTATTGTCTTGTCAAACATAATATAGATACTTCACTCCTTACATTGGCAATAATGTTGAATTACAGATGGAAAAGGACACAATTAACTACTTGAAGTACAAAATGGGCTTCAGTCAGAAGATACTTTTGGCAGATGAGGCTGTGCCAACTAAATTTCATTGTCAAGAGGATCGTAGAAGTCGGCTACCTGATGCTGGACCTTCTCGAGAAGTTTTCTTTAAAAGGCAAAGAATTGATATTGTCACAGAATGTCTGCGAAGACATAGTACTACAACCCATACAGAAAGCTTACAAAATGATGATATGATACAAGAAATCATTGAGCCTAAAGGTTATGTTATCTATATAATACAAATGTCATAAGATATTTTTTCACATTTAAATGAGTTAAGTTTATGTTATTCACATTTAAATTAAGTAATTAATTTGGTTTTTTGTCTTTTCAGAATTACCAAAAACTCAAGACAAAGAAACAATCACCGACCCTATCATAACTGTAGAAAAAGCTGTTCAAGCAACAAAAAAAGTGAATACGCATTTTAGGAGCAAGGCTGTGCAAACTAGATGCCAAAATAAAAGTATTTCTACCTCACCATGGAAAGTTTCTACAATATCTCATTTCACTTCACCAATTAATATTAAACCATGCCATCTTCAACCATTACAGTCAGAGGTTGTTAAAGCAGTTAAGAGAAATATTTTCCTTGTAGATGAAAAATCTGATAGTGATATTTCTTGTTTTGAAAGTGGTCTTTTATCACCTTTTGGAGCTACATCAGTAAAGGTTACTGACTCTGATAGTAATGTTACAGATACCAATGAGAATATTGAAAAATTACAGTGCCTCAAAAATACTTTGCGTTTAATTGAAAAGAAACCATTGATGTATATTGGTATTTCCAAAGAATGTTATTTTTTAATTGAGTTGTTGCATAGACACACAAATATAAATAGAGAACATATTTTGCTATGCTTGAAAAAAATTAGATTAAACAGCACATTTTCTGAACTCGAGGATAATTTTGGTATATCATTATCTTATGCCAGTAAATTATTTTTAAGAAACTTACCAATAATAAGTAGTTTTTTAAAACCATTCATTGTAAACTTAGACAAAAATTTAATAAAAAGGAATCTTCCTATTGCATTTAGACATAACTATCATAATGTAAGCTGCATCATCGATTGTCTAGAAATTGATATACAAAAACCATCAAAGGCTCTTCATCAGGCTCTGACATGGTCAGAGTACAAAAAGGGGAATACTGTGAAGTATTTAATATCATGCACACCTAATGGTTTGGTTAATTATGTTTCTCAAGGGTTTGGGGGTAGAGCAAGTGATGTTACCATAGTAGAGAACTGTAACTTTCTAGATGGATTACAACAGGGAACTTGCATCTTAGCTGACAGAGGCTTCAAGCACCTTGAACAGATACTTCATGAAAAGGGCATAAAACTATTAAGGCCACCCAGTGTAAATGCTGGTGCAATGTTATCAAAAACTGAAGTTCGACAAACTAAAATAATCGCTAGCTTGCGAATTCATATTGAAAGGGTAATTAGGCGAGTAAGAGAATTCCATATGCTAAAGCAACATTCAGTGATAAATACTAACATATGTCGTGTACTTGATCATGTCATTATTATTGCATGTGCTCTAATAAATTTGCAGGATTCTCTTATTAAATAATGTGAAACCATAAATAATAAAACAAGAAATACATCATGATTTTTATCGGCTGATATTGAAGCTATATTTGTTTTGCAAAAGAGAGCCATACGGGCGATTTATAACCTAAATTGTAAAGAGTCCCTCAGAGAAAAATTTAAAGAAATAAGCATATTAACTTTGGCATCGCAATATATTTATGAGAATGTAATGTATGTGCATAAAAACATAAATAGCTTTAATAAGAATAAGGATGTGCATACTTTAAATACTAGGAACAAACATAAGCTTGTAATGCCAGTAACTAGACTCCACAGAATCAGTAATTCATTTATGGGGCAATGTATACGCTTTTACAACAAAATCCCAGAACATGTTCAAAGTTTGTCAATAAACAAGTTTAAAAGTTTTATTAAAGAAAAACTGTACCAAAAGCGTTATTATAATATCAAGGAATACATGAATGAAAATAACCCCTGGGAATAGGGTGATCGCCACCATGCTGGTTCTATGAAAAATCATTTAAAAATTGTATAAATAAATTATTTTTAAGTGAAATTATGTTTAAAAAAAAAGTCCCGCTGGGTTTCTTGCTGGTTCTTCCCAGGACTGAGGTATTTTCCGAACCAGTGGTAAATAAAAAATTACTTTCAATAAGTATTATGTAATAATCAATATTGAATAAAAAATTATTTTATTCTATTCTTATTCTATTTAATCATTATCACTGAAAAGGAAAAACGGGCCTCCATCGCCCGTCCTGCGGCAGAGATCAACCAATTAGTGTCCTATTCACAGATCCTAATACCACACGACGTTGGGTTCCCTGACCCCTGAGTAGGTGTGCAACTCGGGGCAACATAAAAATTTTCAAATATTTAGCAAAATATAACAATTTTACAAGCTATTTTTAGAGTCATAAATCTTAAATATCTATCACACACATTCAAAACAATGATCTTTATTAATAAGCATGAATATCTTAATACAATTGTTTAATTCAAAAATTAAAACTTTTAAGCAGTATTAAAACTCTTTATTTTTTTTTAAATACTAGTAATGCTATTAAACCTTACTAATATTCCCTTTAACCACTTCTGGTAAGCTTAAAATGCTTGTGTTAGAAGTGGTTCACGACAGTAATCGAATGGCGGATTCGAACCCACGACCTTACGAGTTCGCGGTCCGCGCCCTGCCATTAGGCTACTGACGCTTCTAAGCTTCTTCTGAAGCTTCTTCTTCTTTATTTCAACTATAATTTTTATTTAATATTATTAATGTATTATAATTTTTATATATTAATATTATTCTAGCCATAACACTTAACACATTTCTTATCTTATTATTCTATACAATAATCCTGTAACATTTATTACAATACTAATTAAATCTCTAATTTATTTAATACATTTACATGTTATTGAAACTTTCATAAAATAATTGTTTCTTTAAATGCAATTATTTTTTTTAAATTTTAGTACATTATTGAGATGCCAGTTCTAATCCCATACAAAATGAACAACCAATTTCTACATGACCCTCAGCATCACGGTAGGTGGCTAGAGTTATCTCTATCTAATATTACAGCTATCTCTGTTCATTTAGCCATTATGTAACTTATCTCTTATCATAAGAACATAACATGTTTTCACTCAAACAAATGTCTTACAATGCAATTCTTTTATTCGTATTACATACCTGATTACTACATAACGCGTGACTTAAGTTAATTTATAAACACATTTTTGACAAGCGGGGATTTTTATCATTATATTGAATTTATTTACTTTTAACATATATTATTTTTTAATATGAAATACATTTGCTTTTTACATAAATTGTTATTAATTCAAATATGTGGAGTGGATAAAAGTGGAAAAATAATAAACATTAAAGCGTGTCGCCAACAATCACAGACTGGTACCATACAAAATAGGGTAAATATTTGTTTGCCAAAAAGTAGCTAACTTTGGTATTAAGTTATTAACATAATCACTATCATATGTCACTAAAATAATGTCAACATTTTTCGTTTCTTCAAAGTTGCTATCAGCAACACAAAAATAGCTCTTTTTTACCCCTGTTGCATACATTTGCAGATGCACCTGTGCCTTACATTTTTCTGTGATAACACCGTTTGTTTTTCTAATAACTGTCTTTTGCTTTTGCCTTGCTAGGGCATTTTATTTCAATAACGGCACCTTTTATTAAACCATCAGGTGATGCCGCAATCATGGGATTCTCTTTGCACACATAAAGCCCACATGGGGTGATTTTTCTTTTCAATATATTACTGACTGTCTTTCGGACAGACAGTTCTAAATTTCTACCTCTTCTCATTGCAGCTGTATCAGGTATTTTGCCCCCATGATAGAAGCCACCAATGAACCATCTGGTGTATGACAAACACTTACTTCATGTGCCCTTGAAGCTGTGATACGGCCATATCGCATCTCATACCACAAGCTGCTTTTGTTCTGCCTCCTTGTTGCTTCTTCAATGGTACTTATCACAGCTTCAGTAAATGTTGCTTTCATCACGTCAATAAACTTGTCTACATCTGCTTTAATTTCTGGAGATTGGTCCATTACTAAACAGTGCAATGAATACTGCATCACATTACTATGCTTAAAATCATGCTGATATTTTAGCAATTCACAGTTATCAATTTTTCTCTTTTTAGCTTCTGAAATAAATTCAGTATAAAGTGCTGATGAACTCGGTCTGTGAGGTACTTCTTTTTTAGACATCTGCTGCACAGTAATATATTTTAGCGTAGTCCCTACTTTGGACAATGTAGGCTTTTTCCAATAGCACTCTATGGAAGTACATGCAGGTTCATCAGAACGGCGAAGGACCCACATCAAAAAAGCAACTGCATGCTTGCATCCTCCAGCTGAAGCAGCACAGTCGTGGCATTGACAGCTCATAATTTCGCTGTCATTTTCATTAATAATCATCGTCACATTATATGGTTTGGTTCTAACTTTATGCTCTGGGCACATTTTACACTTAACTGTACAAACCCCATGCTCCCGTTGTAGTTGGACATAGCCAATCGCATCGTCTCCATAGGATTCCCTTGCAGACCTGTAAAACAAAAGTAAAGCCCATTACAAAGAGAATTTACAAGAAATTTCTAACTATATCAACATAACCTAAAATGAGATATTACAAAACTTCTGAATGACAATCATATTTATAGGTTTGTAAATAAATAATTCGTACATAGTACTTACACTGCTGTTTTCACATTCTTATGTTCTGCAGCATAGTAATCAGCGTTATTCTTAAAGAAATCTGCAACCATAAATCCGTCTATCTTAGGCAAGTTGCTGTTATCGGCTCGCACAAAATTTGATTCCATTTTGAGATACAAAACGAATATTTATGCCGCTAGTTATCAAATTTATCAGAAATACTAATTCAGAAATAGCTCAAAGATCGAATATAGCACCCAAAAACGTAGAACTCGAACTACAATCACTCAAAGCAGCTATGTTTACTCGCGTGTGACGTCACCAGAGTCGAAACCAATCACAGGGCGTTCTCGTTACAGATAAAATTTAAAAAAAGAATTATGTTTTATTTTCGTTTATTTTGCATAAAATATAAATATCTTAGGTTAAAATAAAGTGAAATATATTTTTTTACCCTATTATCTGATAGGATGACCACAATTTATAGTATATTTTCAATGTTGTCAAATAGCCTATTGAAAGAGTTATGAAAGAGACTGATGGAAAAATTTGGGATGTGCAAGTGGGATTTAGAAATGGAATGGGGTGTACGGATCAGGTCTTTTCCATGCGCATGGTCACCAAGAAGCTTTTGGCCAAAAACTAAAAAGTTTTTTGTGCGTTCGTGGACTTGGAAAAGGCTTATTACAGAATGGACAGGGATGTGTTATGGCAAATACTGAACTCATTTAGGTTAAGCGCTGGGTTGATACGGGCATTAAAGTCTCTATATAGGGACTCTAGTGCTTGTGTCAGGATCAACGGGGCCTACTTGGACTGGTTTAGCATCAATAAAGGTGTCAGACAGGGCTGTGTGGCTTCCCCGTGGCTGTTCAACCTGTTTATGAACAGTTGTTTGGAAAATTTGAAAGTTGAAGACTGCGGGTTAAGAATGGATAAGTTAACAGTCAAATGCCTTTTGTACGCCGATGATCAAGTCATACTTGCGTCGTCGGCGGCCGAGTTGCAAATGGTGATTACATTAATGAACAGGACATTAGAAGAATACGGAATGAAAGTGAACGCAAGTAAGACGAAAGTTATGTTTTTTGAAAGAGAAGATGTAAAACGATATGTGAAATAAGAATAGAAGGGGAGTTGGTTGAGCAAGTAGATGAGTTTGTGTATTTGGGATGTGTATTTAGCAGGAATGGTAGATATAATAATATGGATATAGAACGACCAGTGAACGCAGGAAATATAGTGAATGGGGCTCTACAGTCTATTGTGGAAGGTCAGAATGTATCCAAAAAGGCACGTATGGCATTTCACAATGCTGTGGTAGTCCCTACTTTAATGTATGGTAGTGAAAGTTGGGTGTGGCAGAAGAAGCACGAGAGTAGAATAAATGCTGTAGAAATGCGGTCATTAAGGAGTATGTTAGGGCTGAATCTGAATGACAGGGTGAGAAATTGTGTTATAAGAGAGGAGTGTGGTTTGCAAGATGATGTTGTAACCAGGATTAAGAAAGGAATGCTTCGGTGGTTTGTTCATGTAGAAAGAGGAAAGAATGACAAAACAAATTTATGTTGCAGAGTTGTGATGGGACACCCTAGACCAAATTGGCGATATATTGAAAATAGGCCAAATTAAGAGTACCTTTAACTCACGAGCGTGTATGCGTAGGTATATATATGGATGTGGAGGAAGCGAGAGAGGTATGTCAGGATCGTGCCAAATGGAAGTCCATAGTCTCTGCCTACCCCCCTGGGTGTCAGGCATGAGTGTTTATGTATGTATAATCCTAAGTTTTAAGTTTTAGGTTTTTTATTATTGTTCTGAATATTGAATATATTTCATTGTTATATAAATAAATGTATTAAATTAAATTAAGTATTAGAGTTAATGTGTCAATAAAAAATATATAAACTCAAACTCCCACATTTCACTCCTATTTAGATTTATCAGTGGG